AATTAAATGTATCATTTAATTTACCATAAACGAAATTCCGCATTTTTCAGAATCTGTACATTAAATAACTGTATTTTGATACAGAAAATCTGTATTTTAAATACAGCAAATCTGTATAAAAATACAGAAGATCTGTATTAAAATACAGACTTTTGACGACTCTGGCGCACCATAGAAAATACATCTAATGTATAAGAGTATACAATAAATTGTATCGTATCTATTTATTAAAGAAAAAGGTCAACCTATCTATGCTCCACAGAGCCCATACATACAAATTTATACCTTATGAACCTTTAACTCTATCCTTATAAGCGCTAGATATGACACACGAATATTATTATTAGGGGCAAGATCAAACCACTCTGCTACTGTCTGTTTTTTAGCATCGCATGCTTGTCCTCATCAACAATATGCCATGGCGCCCTATATATTCAAACACCTAACGCCAAACACCTGACGCCTCATCTACTCAAACACCTGACCCCATCGACACAATCGACTGGACACAATAGAACTATTCTGGTTTATATACGCAAAGTATACTTTAATCGTTTAAATACTGTTACTCATTTAATGCAATTTCATAAGACACAACGTATATAAATCGCAAATCAGAACATTCGAATTGTTATTTGTCAAAAAATAATTTCATTGCTTGAAGGTAAATGATTCTGAGACGTTAAAGGGTCATTCCAGATACTGTGTGCAACATTGCAGATAATGTTATATATACAAAGGAATATGAGTAGACCGCACAACAAGAGCAAGCCTTTTAAATCAGAATGCAGCGTTTACTTCAAAGCACTCTATCGTATTTAATCTTAACAGCAAGTAAACTTAACAAATAAAAAGCACATGACATCTTTTAATATTCTCCTAAATAATGTTGTCATAATTCAGGCAAGTTTAATAAAAGCTCAATTTCAAACGGGCGACGTTGCTTTGGCATCACAAACCTCATGGTAAGAATAATTCATTGTAATGTGTGTTTTTTTCTCTTTCATGTCATAAGAGATTATTTCTTAATTTTGATCTCTGTATCTCTCAAAGGTACGTGTGCTCTTCCAATCCGACAGATATAGCAAGTAAGTACCTCAAAATAAATTTTTGCAATTTTTGCATTTACACAACGGACACTGACTTTTTTTTACCTCTCTAGGCTATTCCGTGACAACGTACAATCAGACAGTCACATCAACACCAAATTTTGGCAACACAAGAAATGGCTTTTCCACTCCCGACGTTCCGCCTTGCACACAAAGTTTTGTTTCAGTTGTTGTAGATCCTACCAATTTTCCTATGATCTTCAACGGACTAACATTTCTTGCTTGGATGCACAATCATGGTTAGTACTAATGACTGAGAGGCATATGCAGCTATGTATTGGGTTTTTTGTATTATATAAGCATTGGCGTGTAATAAGAACCTACCTGTATTAATTATGTATGACTTTTTTCCAAACCCAAAGCATTACCACATGTGTAAATACATGCACAAAAACTGCTCTTACAAAATCAGCACAACAGACTGCTTGGTGTCTTGTTGTAAGCAATCCCAATACCGCTGCAATATGTCTCAGAATTTCTTATACCTTCACTGACCCAACAAATGCAGCCACTAGTACTCCTACCAATAATACTGTTAACGGGGGAGCGAGCCCTACTAGTGGATCAGGTTCCTACACTACTACAATAGTGCTTCCTTCTGTATCTGGAGTTCAGAAAATTAGTTGGAACAGTAAGGGCATTTTGGTCATCGCATTAGCGTGCGTTGTTGTGATTCAAAGTTTTATGGCCTTAATTTAGAAATAGTTACAAAGTCCGATACATCAGTTTTTGACTCAAATAAGCATTAGAACTTGACAAATAATTGATATATTATATAAGTAAAAGTTAGTTAGTTCGCAATGCTTCTAGAAATAAGTTTGTTTAGTCGAGAAGTTTTACGTGTGAGCTTTTATTTCTCTAGATTTTAAATACTTTATTGCATTACTTCAATACACCTTCCATCAAACTTTACATTTATATGCTGATTCTTCTCACTCTGGAAAGAGTTTTTATATTTTTCTTTAAGGGTGAGCATCAATAATTGTGTAAACTGCCCTCAACATTATCCTCCTAGTTTTTTTTTTCTGATTTAAGAGCATAAGAAAAATTACAAGAAGCAAGTTCTAGCTGGTAGGGACAACTGTACCTGCATAATGCAACACTGGACGTAAAACCACAAAGTTTCCATTTTTCATATAGCCTGAAAAGACAGGGTTTGGGGCATTAATTGTTCTTTGCCACAACTAATTCTGTGAGTCCATCCAAAGTACACTGAAATTTTGCTGTCATTACAGTCCATAGCCTGTTTCTACTATATTTTTTATATGGAAGAGTTCTATGTCGAGAGCCACTTGCATGAATCCATAACAACATTAAGGGATTGCTCACATTAGTTAATGCTACTAGAGGTTTATAATCCGTCGATTACTGACTTGTGAGAATTTAGCCAATTCGAGCGGAGTGTGGCTCTCCTACTTTTAGTTAAAGAGGATTAGTATCTACACATCGATTGACGTCGTGAGTAGAAAAGCCTAGTGTTAAAGGTTACAAACTGTCATTTAATCCGTCTTCGAGTTAAAAAACGTGTTTTGTAATGAACAATTAATTGTCGTTCACAGGAACAATTGCAGGACAAAAAGCGATTATTCTCTTCCGATATAGAATTAGCGGTTTACTGGCTATATCGAGTAGTAAAATAATATATTATTATGTATTTTTAGAGTAAAAGAGCTTATTAATAACAATCACTAGTTGTATAAACTGCCCTGCGAAGTTTCAACAAGATCCCTCCAGCTTTTTTTCTGATTTAAGAGTATAAGAAAAATTACGAGGACTAGCGTCAAATCACAATTTTTCATATAGGCCCGAAAGACTGGGCTATGCCATTAATTGCTCTTTCTTCGCCACAACTAATATTGTGAGTCCATCCGCAGGACACTTTTGAAATTTTGCTGTCATTACAGTCCGTGACCCTTTTCTTCTATATTTTTTATATTGAATATCACTTACTGTATATAAATCCACAGCAACGTTAAGAGCTTGCTCATCTCATATTCTAAAGATTGTGCGATATTGATGCCTTTGATGGATGCTTCACATTACAAAGACATCCATTAATTCTAAGTAATACATAATTGTACCGATAAATTTTCTTGTGAGAGAAATATGTCATCATTATTAGCATAGCCTCACAACTTTAATACAAAAAACGCGCGCTACACACACACAAAGGGCCACGGTCCAAAAGTATCCGTGGGATGGAGTTTTTTCATAAAAGTAATTTGACTTATTCGAACGCTATAGGCTGATTCTTCTCAATTCTGGAAAGGGTTTTTAGGGTAAGCATTAACAACTGTCCTGCCAAGTTTCAACATTATCACTCCAGTTCTCTTCTAATTCGAGAGTATAAGAAAAATTACAGGGAGCAAGATCTAGCTGGTAAGGAACAACTGTATGCATAATGTAACACTGGCAGCATAAAATTACAAACAATTGTCTTTTATACAAGCCTGAGAAGACTGTCTCGATCCAGAACTGAGACAGGTCTCCAACTGCTGTATGGAGGTGAAATTGGTGTATAAAATTTCATGAAGCTACCAGAAAAGATAATAGAAGTTTAGTGCAAAATCTAATCAGCAACTATCGCGAGGAACTTTTATTCACAACGAGGTGTTAGCTAAAGCCCAGTTTAAGCTGTACATGTAGAAGAAGAGAATAAAAATGGACTTATAGGGAGGAGGGGGAAGATATCTATTCCCAGATGTGTTAATGAGTGACTGTATTCTTTTGGGGGTGCCCAGGGGGTGAGTGGGTCTATTTGTAAGCTGTTATGAAACCAGAAAATGTGCTAGAAAAATTTGTAGAAGTCGGCGAAAGATGTTACTTGAACGACAATACACTAAAATATTATCTGCCCAGTGACCAGGAAGAAGTAAAAAGGACACAAGCCGACATTTCGTAGACAAAACTATGTGGGAGGAACTACTCTGCTCCCGTTTCTGATAATCTATCATTAGGAGCAAGTGTTCTTGATATTGGGTAAATCCGTTATCGCGGCTGAAGTTGAAGAACAAGATATACATACTGTACATATACAAGTTTCAAATATTCTAGACCGCCCGTATTAATAATTTCTATAACTAACCAGTTGCGGCGCAGGAACGTGGATAATGAATATGGCCTTGGATTACCCCGTTTCAGTATTTGTCGGAATAGATATCGCTCCTTTATTCCCCGAAGATTATCCGCCCAATGTGGTATTTCTTAAGTGTAACATCATGGATGGTCTACCGTTTTCCAGACCAGATAACACGTTTGATTTTGTTCGACAAGCATTGGAAAGAGAAAGTGGTAAAAGAATTAATAAGAGTAACTAAGCCTGGAGGTTATATCGAAATTATGGATATACAACGTAAAGATATAAATCCGGGAATAATATGCCAAAAGATTGACGTTGGTAGTAAGTATCTGATGAATCGTATGCGTATGCGTTTTAAGTGTGTAGCCTGCCTTGTCAACCCGGCTACCTTTCCCACATTATTTAAAATTGTAGTGTTGGACATCTTCGTAAGGCCGGAATCAACACAACATCCGGTCTAGATGTAATAGAAGCATTTAACGAATTTAAAATAAAGTGATTGTAGCACCTATAGAAGAGAGAACATATTATTTTGGGAAGAAAGCAGGAAGAATAGGTGAAGCGGTAAGTATACTAAACAAAGTGTATATAATATTTAAGAAAAAGACATAACAGACGTTTATAATTAATTAACGCTTTGCTGTTTAGACATTGAAATGTGTCCTGGAGGATACAAAGGAATAAAAATTATTCTCACTCATATTATGGAGATTACAGAAAAAGAGTGTGAACAGATTTTGAGAAGGAATGTAATGAAGTCACGCTCTGCAAATCACAATACTTACCGTGCTATTATTCAAAAGCGTTTGGATGCGTTTATTTACGATTTATTTTAACGTGTTTATTGAAAAAATTTGGATTCGCTAAAAAATTGTACAATAAATCTGTATTGTAGTATATATATTTGGAAATGTTTGGTTATGGTATAATTTAACGGCTAGTATTGAATGACCAATCAATATCTGATGATTTTTCCTTGAAAAATGGTTACGGATAAGTGCGGATGTTAGCGTTATTTTTATGATAACTGATTTGTTATTTGCATGTTTGTATTGATTGATTGATCGTCAGCCATATGTGGCTTAGAATAAATTTGCTGCGGTAAAAATTTTTGAAAGATAAGCGTCAATGTTAGCGATAACTGATTTGCTATGTGCTTGTCGAACTATGTATGGTTGATCGTCACATTTATATGGCTGGTAGTCACATGTAAAAGGAGATTACTGATGCCAAGTAAACTAATCAACATTTGATTTGTCATCGATGATTTACTTGAAAGACGGTTGCGGATAAATATTGGCGTTATTTCGCGATAAGCGATTTGTTACTTGCTTGTTAAACTCTTTAATGTTAGCATTAACTGATTCCTGTTTTCTAGTAAACGTCTACTTTCAGTTATGAATTAGGGGAGTAAATTCATTATGTTTATGTACGGGAACAAAACGAATTGATTGTTGTCATGTATAAACAGAACTGCGTGACGGTGTAACACGAAATTTTTTGTGATCCCACAATATTTTACGGAAAAGCCTATATAAATAACCTTATTCAAACAAATACCCACATTATTACGTTTTCATAAACGATCAAACATACTATTTTACAATACTGATTCATGTCTCGGTGCAAACAACAAATTGCCTATTTCACCAACATATTATTACATTCCTACATGTATATAAAATATGAAATAGCAATCGTACATCTGATCATTATGCAATCTTTATTTACCCATGTGTGAGATAACTATATATGACATTGATGCATAAGAAGCAAACTACTATACAGAACTTCCTACATTAATACACGTATTCTTTCCGGCTAACCATGCATATCAAAGATTGACATTGCAAATAACTGAGTAAATATGATGTTACTGATACTACGCCTACAACACTAACAATGCAATAACACACCACAAACTACCGTATAATAACGTGAAAACAAAAACACATATCTATAGTGTTGTTACCCGGATTATATGTCGACTAGTAAATATGGTAAACACCGTATGATACCGCCATTAAACCATACTCTCTTCTTACGTAAAGCCCAAAGATATGACCAATAAATTACACCACGCTTATCTTCCAAAGAATAATCAAACATCGTCGATATGTAAAAAGCAATACGTCAATTATGTGCCGTTTAGCAAAGGCAAAATAACAAACTATTAACATTATTAATAAACTATTTGTATCAAGAAACAGAAACTATTTTACTTAAGGCGAATGCCATCTTTCTTAATTTCGCCAACGAGCCCAATTTGCGTTTATCTCAAAGTTTATGTCCCCAAAACTTGGGATGGCTTGTCGCACGCTGTATTACCACTATATCATTATATAGCTCTTTGATGGGATGGAAACTCCGGATAAGTCTACACTTTCAAAACCTAAACTACCCACTCATGGTAATATTCAGAACTCAACTCCAATGCTTCTCTAAGTGCAGTCACTGTATTTTCCCTCCCTAAATGCAGGCTCTGGTTTGGTCCCGAGATTATAAGACCATTAAGTATTTCACTCTCTATAAATGCAGATTCTCTATAAATGCAGGTCATGTCTGATTTGGCATATGGTCCCGTCAGTGTTGTACTCGATTTTTGCAAGACAAACCTCGTCAACTACGTAAGATCAACAAAATTTTTTTCTGATATAGCACACAACCTTTGTCATATACATAAATATTGACTTAATGTTTATTGTTTATCTACTGTACGACCGCAAATTTTTCTAATAAATCGCACGACGCGGCCCCCCAAAAATTAACATCATAAACCAATTATTCTTCCTTAATCTGAAACACCAAATGCTGTGTGTTATTCACAATCAGAGAAATCAAAGGATTATATAAAGTGCAACTAATTTGTAAGTCGAGCGAACAATCGAATTGTTAGAGCAGTTATTAACGTCAACGTGAGTCAAAATTCTTCTAAATAAACGATTTCGAACAAATTTTATTGTTTAAAGATAAATAGTAATAGTGCTGCGACAACTAAATAAATATATATATATAGAAAGAACACAATTAGAAAACCAAAGACCCAAGCTGTTTTAAGTCAGGATGCAGCGCTTACTTCTAAGCATTCTATTGCCATTTATCTTAGCGGTAAGTAAATTTAATACATAAAGAACACATGCCTCTGTTAACATTCTCCTAATAATGTTATCTTCACGTAGGCAAGCTTAGTAAAAGCTCAATTCCAAACGGGTGATGTTGTTTTAGTATCACAGAGCTCATGGTAAGAATTAAATCGATGTTTATGTTTTGGCCCATAGCGAATAAATCCAGCCCAATTTCTGTTGTCTAATGTCACAGCCAATATGCAAATCTAGTCAACATTGTTTATTGATAATAGCGAAATAAATATGTGTGCTTATTCTGACCCGATTTTGAATTTCTCTACGAGCCACATTTACCTTGACATATAAGAGATTATTATTTCATCTATGCGTTTCTAATTCGATCTCTCTTTATATCAAAGGTACGTGTGCTCTCCAAATCCGACAAATATAGTGAGTAAGTGCCTCGAAAACTAATTATTACAATTTTTGCATTACGCAGCAGGCACTCACTTTTTTCACTTTTGTCAGGCTATTCTATAACAACGTACAACCAGACGGTCACACAAACACCAAATTTTGGCAACACGAAAGATGGCTGGGCTGGTCCTGACAAGGGGCCTTGCACACAAAGTTTTGTTTCAGTTGTTGTGGATCCCACCAATTTCGCTAGAATCTTCGACCCACTAGCAAAAGTATTTTATGCTTGGGATGCACAATCATGGTTAGTACGTAATGACTGGGAGGTTTTAGACATATGGGCATATAACCTGTACTAACTATATTATAACTTTTCAAAGCATTACCACATGCGTAGATACATGCATGAAAACTAACCCTGTACAAAACCCACAATCGCTTGCTTGGTGTCTTGTTGTAAGCAATCCCAAAAATGGTATAATCTCTCTCAGAATCGCTTATACCTTCGCTGACCCAACTGGTCCTGTCAGCAGTACTCCTATCGTCAGCAGCACTCCTATTGTTAGCAGTACTTCTACCAATACTGTGAGCCTTACTACTACTACTGATGGGTCGGGTGGATCAGGCTTTTACACTGCTACAATAAACGTTCCTGCTGGAGTTGAGAAGATTGGTTGGAGTAAGAGCATTATAGGCATTGGGTTAGCTACAGTGCTATTATTCAAAACTTTATGGGTTTAATGTATTGTATTAATAGAAATGACAAAGTCTGATACATCACTTTTTGACTCAAACAAGCATAAGAACAGCTTACAATTAATTGATACTGTATGAATATAAAGTCAATCTATTAATAATGTTCTAAGCCTTTTTTACTAACAGTGTTTGTTCACTTTTTTTACCTGAAGTACTGAAATGTCTTGTGTGCGAACTTTTATTTAAATTGCCATTGCATTACTTCAATGTACTCTCCATTAATCTCTACATCTTCTGATTCTCCAACTCTGGAAAGAGTTTTTATGTTTTTCTTTAGGATTGGCATCAATTCAATAATTGCATAAACTGGCATGCAAGTTTTCAACATATTAAAATTTTTTCCGCCAGTATTCTTCTGAATTTGAGAGAATAAGAAAAAATTCACAAGAAGTAGGTAAAGGCAACCGAACCGCTTCTTTGCATAATATAGCATAGACATTGTGGAGCATGAAATCACAAAAAGTTGCCCTTCCTTCTTTCATAAAGTTTGAGAAGACTTCTGGTAATATTCAATTAGCATTAAACTCTGTATTTGTTCCTTTTTTTTACCCCCAAAGCTTATGTTGTAAATCCATCAATAGTAACAATTTTAAATTATTCACCCAAGACTAGTTTGTTTTCTTATTTAAAACTGTAACATTATACTTAGATTTCAATACTGTAAGGGTGCTGCCATATCGTGCAGCAAGCATTGAGTACACAAGATAGTCTCAATGTGCAACGCAATAATAACACGCGCCCTATTTCTAGATTCAGTTAGTGAGATAAATAAATATTCGCTGACTTCCATCATGTTCCGTATGTTCCGAATACTCTAATTGATTCTTTGTTTATTTATTAATATTCCTTTATATACTCTGAAATAAACTGTTTGTTCCTTGGTAATCGTTTCGGTAGAGTGTGAATCACTGATTTCTCTATCGATTCAAGATAGTTGACTCCTGTCCCTCAAATATCCTGGTGGCGTTATGATTACTGTTCGTCTAAGTAATAAATGCATTTTCATGGAAAGACATATAACTCAAAGCTGACACAGCAATCTGGGATTAGTGTCTAGTAGTTAAAGTCACTAACAGTCGATTGTATTTAGCTAAGTAGGAAAAGTCACAGCTCCGATCGAAAAAAAGGCTAAATCTCAAGATCATTCGCTCTCCCGTGACCGTTGACTCGATTACACTTCTTATTAAATACTTGTGAGACAAACGTTGTGAAAGTTTATTATCATGTAAAATATGAGGCAATTCTTTGCTCACTTTTGGATGTTACTATTTTAACACTTTATAATACCCCATTATCTGTGTACACATAGAATACTAAAAGTAATAGTTGTTTTGACATAATTTGTTTAGAATTTATTCTACAAAACCCATTTGAAAATGGAGTAGTTTTACGGTTAATTAATTGGACGCAAGTTGCGTCATTATTGATTTTTTTTTAAGATTTTACATACGCAATTTTAGACAAATTTATCAATTCTACAAATAGGTTTATATTCTAGTGTGAGTTCAATTACTCTGTTCTCTTAACAGCAGCTCCGGACTTTAGTTGAATACATAGCGTCGTCAAGTTTTCTTATTACGTGCATTATAGAGGTGTTGTCAATAATCGTACCACTATTCGTATATATCACTTTGATGGCTTTTTTGCCGAAACGTTACTTTTTATCCTACCTCGGATTCTTCTAACGTATTCAAGTGTTTTATATGCTTTTTTTGCGTTGTCTACTCTTGGTTGGGCCAAACAAATTTAAGCTTTCGATCAGGTTGTATAATAATATGCTAGATTATGGTACGTAATTGTGGAACCTTTCGGTATTTTATAACTTGTGGAATTGTAATTTTAGCTCTAAGTAATTATATGCAATTCAAAGTGACAGCACTTATTAACGCTCTTGTTGCGCTAATTAACTATTCTTTAACAGCCATCAAGATTCAATTATATCTATTGAAGCAATGTCAGCACTAGTGTGTATACTTACTTTTGTCAATATACTGTAGAAGTAGTAATTTATACACATCGGAACACACATGACATGTCGAAATACCATAAATAATCCGCAGCATTTGAATAGTTTGAATAAAAATATAAGCACAAATACACAATAAATGTTTATTGTCACTTCAAGACTTAGTTTAGTAAATTTTAATTTACATCCACCCAAAAAAACTTTGTATCAATTAGACCAATATACATTGCATGCATATCGTTTATTGTGTGTTACTATGTTCATAATACAACGCAAATAGACACAAATCATGGGAAAGCTAAACGGTCAAGGAAGCCTTTTTGCAGTGAGTAAAGAGTGACATGATTCTGACACCTGTTGTTGTAGTGCAATTAAGTGCAACTAATCTGTTAGTCGAGTAAACAGTGCATCAAGCATAAGTCAAAGTTCCGATATAAAGACAATAATAATAAAGAAGCTGCGGCCAAGGCTGAGGTGTCACAACAAATATTGTGTGTGACATTATGGATAATATTATATATACGAATAGAATAGACTTAAGACTCAAGCTTTTCAATCAGAATGCGAGGTCTACTTCAAAGTATTTTGCTGTCTCTTATATTAACGGTAAGTAAATTTAACAACAAGGAATAACAAACATGACATATGCTAATATACTTCTAATAATATTACCGTAATTTAGGCAAGTTTAGTAAATGCTCAACTCCAAACGGGTGATGTTTCTTTGGCATCACAAACCTCATGGTAAGAATAAATTTATATCCTTAACCGCTTATTGTCATAAATTCTCTCAAGCATTGTTATCTTATAAGAAAGTATTATTTTACCTATGCTTCTCTAATTCGATTTCTCTTTATATCAAAGGTACGTGTGCTCTCCAGATCCGACAAATATAGTGAGTAAGTATGTCAAAAGTTAACCATTGCAATCTTTGCATTTGCGCAACAGATACTCACATCTTTTACTTTTATCAGGCTATTCTATAACGACGTACAGTCAAACAGTCACATCAACGCCGAATTTTGGCACCACAAAAAGTGGCTTTTCCAGTCCCGACGTTCCACCTTGCACACTAAGTTTTGTTTCGGTTGTTGTGGATCCTACTAATTTTGCTAGAATCTTTAACCTGCAAACATTTTATGCTTGGGATTCACAATCATGGTTAGTACATAATGACTAAACGTTTGTTTGCTATATATTGGGCAAGTTTTTTTTCAGCGCTGCTAAACAATACTAATCATGTTACAACTTTTTCTCCAACATAAGCATTACCACGTGCGTAAATACATGCATTAAAACTGGTCCTATACCAAGCCTACAAACGGTTGCTTGGTGTCTTGTTGTAAGCAATCCCAATAACGCTATAGTTAATCTCAAAATCTCTTATGGCTTCGGTAGTGCTTCTACTAATACTGGAGCGCCTACTACTAATGGAACGGTAGCAAACCCTACTATTACTTCTACTAATGGGGCGGTAGCAAGCCCTACTGATACCAATGGGTCGGGCGCCCTCACTACTACGATAGCTTTCCCTTCCGGGGTTGAGAAAAATGGTTGGAATAGTAAGAGCATTTTAGGCATCGGGTTAGCGTGCATTATTATTATTCAAAGTTTTATGCAATTGATTTAGAATTAATTATTGTCTTAATAGAATAACAAAATCTGATGCATCAATTTTCGACTAAAACAAGCATACAAATAGATTAGAACTTGACAACTGACATATTAATAATAAAAGCCAATTAATACAATAATGATTCAACGTTTCTAAAAATAAACTTGCATAGGTTAACACAGTCTTTTTAGTGATGCTGGAAGGTTTTGCGTGTGTGCTTTTATTTGTCTAAAATAATATTATTGATAATATTGCATTATTTTAATGTACTTTCTATTAAATTCTGTACATATGATAGTTAATATTGAAGGGTTTTTATATTCCTCTAGAGTATTTTTGATAGTGTCATAAAGATTTTGCACATGGCTGGAAATCAAGTTTACTATACGGAAAAAATTCCCTGAGCAAATAATTACGTCAATTTACTGTGTCATCACAAACAATTACCAGTTTTAAACCGCTAGCTAACAATCAACATCTGATAATCTTATAGTTATAATCTTTACGCACTTAGTTTTTTCTTTTATTACTGTATTATGTAAGAGATAGTCTAATAAACCATTTTATGATTTAATTCAAATTACCTGGTAATCGCACGGTGAAACCGTTGATCACTCTATGAGTGTGAATAATCGATCTTGTCAATCGATTGTTCCGGTTGGCAAATACACGTACAATTTCCCTAATCTGTTTAAAGTAGATAATAGTTTTTCCGATTTGGCTATAGGCTAACAAAAATAATTTGCCGGTAGAAATAACATCCTAGGATTACACGAGTGGGTTATACTGAGTATTTAAAGTACTAACTTTCGATCATAGATTAGAAGGAGTAAAGGATTACTAAGCTTCTATAAAAAATAGATCTCAAGTTTGATTATTATTTCGTGGTAATGGACTCGACATTAACATCAACAATTGTGTAAACAGTCCGTACCAAGTATTCAACATTATCAAGTTTTTTTTTTTTTCTGCCTTGTAAATACAAAAATTGTCATATTTTGGCATATCCTGTTACAATTAACAAATCCTCATTCATTTTTATGAAAATATTGCGTAGAAGAAGATATTTATTCAGATCTGAGCATTACCTCTATACTCAGCTTTGTATAAGAGCTTCTCTTGATAGTAATGCTTGATATCCAGGTTTTCCAACTCACGCTGCAGACCTAAACTTTTATCTTCTATTAAGTGGAATTTTTATTCTAATGGCGAAAACCCCGATAATACATAATATTCCTCAACATTGATAACTGTAAGACATATTAGTTAGGCAAGTAGCAGAGAAAAGATTATCGATTTTAGTAATAGTTATTAGTAAAAATAAGAACGTCTTTTGATGGTTTGATGTAGATTACAGTACTACTCAAATTTTAGACTCGTGTCTGCCCTTTATGTAATTAGATAATCTATTTTCCGTATTAAATATCCCGAACCCAAGATTCGCATATTTGCCGATCACTTTTCAATAGTAAAAAAATATAGACTTCAATCTCTAAGGCTTTTGAACGGAGAAACTACACTTCTAAAGACTGTGCCAATGTACGCTTCAACACATTCGCGCCATAAACTGGCGGAGACCTTTTTGAATTTGTTACAAAAAAGGCGGCGAGAAATATTACTTAAAAAGAGTTTACTTGTAATTTGTCAAGGAAAACGAAAATGTTTGCTGTCGAATAGGCGCTTTAATTTAGAGTGTCCACAATTGTTCATATTTTGTATGGTCGGCAAATTTAGTTTATTAATTAATATGTCACATAAATGTATGACACAAACATTTACGTTAAAGCAGTGACGTATCAATATTTAAACAATAGCCATTTATATTTTAAGAATAACTGTACTGTATAAACAACCGATATTCGAGTAGGTTCTACACCTCTGTTGTATGTCAGATAGGAATTTATGTCAGATCGGAATCTATGTCCATTCCGAACTGACATATGTCAGATCAGAAT